CACCAGGTTCGGACCACTTTTGGAAGTTGAGATGTTGAAAAAGTGCACGCCGTTGTGGCGCGAAGCACATTTCCAAGTCAAAATGTACAAAGCACACCATGCTCGGACAACTTTTGGAGGTTCAGATGTCGAAAAAGTGCACGCCGTTGTGGCGCGAAGCACATTTCCAAGTCAAAATGTACAAAACACACCAGGTTCGGACCACTTTTGGAGGTTCAGATGTCGCTTTGCTTCGCTTCGCTTCATTACACTACACTACATTACACTACACTAAACTCCACTACACTACATTACATTACACTACATTCCACAACACCACAACTACAACTACACAACTACACAACTACACAACTACACAGCTACACAACTACACAACTACACTGCACTACACTGCACTACACTCAACCACACTAAATTACACTCCACTATACTCCACTACACTAAATTACACTACAGTACACTACACTACGCTCCACTACACTACATACACTACACTCCACTACACTACACTACAACTACAACTACACAACTACACTCCAGTACACTACATTACACTACACTCCACTACACTACATTACACTACACTACGCTACCTTCCACTACACTACACTACATTACACTACACTACACTACATACACTACACTACACTCCACTACGCTACAACTACAACTACAACTGCACAACTACACTCCACTACACTCCACTACACTAAATTACACTACACTACACTACATTACACTACACTACACTACACTACATTCCACTACACTACACTACACTACAACTACAACTACACAACTACACTCCAGTACACTAAATTACACCACACTACATTACACTACACTACATTACACTACACTACACTACATTCCACTACACTCCACTACACTACACTACAACTACAACTACACAACTACACTCCACTACACTAAATTACACCACACTACACTACATTACACTACACTACACTCCACTACACTACACTACACTCCACTACACTAAATTACACCACACTTCACTACATTACACTACACTACATTCCACTACACTACAACTACAACTACACAACTACACTCCACTACACTCCACTACGCTAAATTACACTACACTACACAACCTCCCACTACACTTCCCTACATTACACTACAATACACTCCACAACATTACAACTACAACCACACCAGTACACTCCACTACACTAAATTACACTACACTACATTACACTACACTCCACTACACTACAGCAAATTACACTACACTACACTACATTACACTACACTCCACTACACTCCAGTACACTAAATTACACTTCACTACACTACACTACATTACACTACACTACACTCCACTACACTACATTACACTACACTACATTACACTACACTACACTCCACTACACTACATTACACTACACTACACTACCTTCCACTACACTACACTACACTACATTACACTACACTACACTACATACACTACACTACACTACAACTACAACTACAACCACGCAACTACACAACTACACTCCACTACACTAAATTACACTACACTACATTACACTACACTACACTACATTCCACTACATCCCACTACACTACACTACACTACATTACTCTGAATGACACTGCACCGCAGATAGACAGGTAGACAGACAGATAGATAGATAGATAGATAGGGTAGGTAGGTAGGTAGGTAGGTAGTTAGGTCGGTAGTCAGAGAAAGAGAGAGAAAGAGAGGAGATCTCAAGCACCTTTCGGTCCATCAGTGGATTCGCTCTGCCATCCCTGATTCACAACAACCAAGCTCTCCTATAGGTTTCCTATTTTTGAAACTTCCGCCACCGCCTTGTGCGGTACTACTGGTAATCGCTGGTTGGTGGTGACTGGAACCATGGAATTTTATGACTTTCCATTCAGTTGGGAATGAAGAATCATCCCACCTGATGAACTCCATCATTCTTTAGAGGGGCAGGTTTACCACCAACCAGTTAATGATGGTTTCTGACGGTCAATTCAGGTCATTGTAATGGAAGAAGCTAGCCAGATCCCACGGTAGCTATAGGGAAAAAGGCTATAGATGAATGATGATGAATGATCACGTCACGTTGCGGTAAGTCACGGTAAATGATGGTTAGTATAAGGGGACCTTTCCTAAAATGGCCGAAGTTATGATGTTTTATTTTTTAATGCAGATGTATTGTCCCATTCAAACTTTGGATCTCCAACTGGGCTAATGAGGGGACCGCCGTGTTTCCGCATCGATTGGGTTTCCACTCTCCGCCCATTTCCTCTGGGCCACAAGTCGCCTAAGAGCAATGCCTAGCGGCTCACGTGCTTCCACTCTGGGCGGGGGGTGGAACCCAGCGAGTCATGAGATAATTGACCGTAGTGTACACTCACTAAAAAAAACCTGAAATAACGACTTTCATAGGAATATATTATAAGACAATCAATCATGATTATATGTTGTTTTATGGTTGATTGGAGTAGGTTTATATTATTCCATATTTTTGGAATTAGTCAATGTTTCATATATGGATTATTCCTATAATATATAAACCATAATTATAGGACATTGATTATAGGATGGGACAACAATGGTAAAGCCTTTGACTTCTAGGGGGTACCAAAACCAAACATGTTGCAACAAGGTTGACGTGAATCTATGGCTGAGGGGCCTAGTTTTGACTGGACAAATCATACAAGGTGGTGCTCCAGTTATGGGAACGTTGGTTTATAAACCACAGTAACTGGTTGGTGGTTTGGAACATGTTTTTATTTTTTGCATATATATATATTGGGAATAATAATCCTAAGTGACTTTCATATTTTTCAGAGGGGTAGGTATACCACCAACCAGGTAACTAGATCGATATATCTACCAGAATCCACCACAAACCATAGAATTCACCAAGTGATGTGCGTCAACATCTCGCGATTCCGAACTGGGGCACCACCGAACGTATTTATCCATCTTTACCGACCCTACATATGGCTGGGGTATGCTGGGGTTATAAGCTGATCAATCCCCAGTCGGGTTGTCGCGACAATTTCACACATGTCACATATCTTTGAAACCTCCAAGATGTTTAGACCTTCCAAACGCTTTAATTGAAGCTTCAATATGTTTTCGAGAAAAACTCCTTTTGAAGCTTCCATCAGTTGAAGGATTTGAAGCTTGTGGGATTTCTGATCTGCTTTTCACACACCTCCCATGACTCGCCAGATCTTTGGATTTTGTACTTGGATGATAAAGGATGGGTTGGGTATTGGTACCAATGTTGCTTTCATCATAGTTTCATCCCACCTGGTGAGAAAAAGTCCAATCATGAACTATAACCGATAACCTGATTCTTGTGGAATATATTGGAAGATATTGGATATATCATATCATATATATATATGTAATTATGTATGTATATATATATATTGGAATGTACTGTATCAAGTAAGCCAACAAAAAAAAAGTATGCGATTGGACCTACTTATCTTTTATGATTCAAATGGTTTGGCATGTAATGATTTTCTCACTTGCAACACTGTGATATATGACTGCTCCAGCCAGATCATCCAAGCGTAGCTGACGACACAGAAGCACCAAACGTGACGAAATACCATGAAGAACTACATTTATATGTTGTTTTCCCCTTTGACAACTTGAAGGCTCACATGGAAAGTCCATTTTTGAGATTGACTGACTCAGTGACTGACTCACTGACTGACTGACTGACTGACCGACCGACCTTCTTGTTTCCAGCACGTACCAGCAGTTCATGTTCATCTTTCATGGGCACAGTTATAGCCCTTACCACTTAAACCTATAACTGGCTAATAACCCCATTTCAGTGACATATAACCAACCAGTTCCAGGAGTTTTTTCATCCCATTCATAACTATTAAGGGCCATAACTGTATGATGTTTGTGGCCCCAAGAAGACTTCTCCCCTCTACATGGCGGACCTGATATTCCAGATCCGAAACCATCATTTTGCCATAGACACCGAAACACCAAGTTTTTGAAACCAGTTTTTTTCCAGAGAACCCTGTGAATCTTCCTCCACAACCACCAACTGATGCCTGTTTTCGGCACGTTGTAGTTGCGGTGCCCTTTAGAAAAGCAGGCAAGGTCCTGCTTTTGGGGCCAAGACACAAGCGAAATCTTAGTCAAGCAAATCATATCACCATACTTGGATTGGTATTTGGATCTGCATCCCAGTTGCTACTTGCGTGAACGTGAAGTTATGATACAGACTAGTTGGATCCATTTGGTGCAAGTGGATGCAGTTCCGTAGGTGCCATGGTCATCAATCCATGAATGGGGATTCATACCGATCACCATCAACCATATACACCATGTTGTTTTTTAAAACATGGCCCACATGGCACATATTTTTTTCAATACGATGAAAAGTCCTTTAATCTATAGGTAGTACCCTAACTAAGCCAGTGGAAGTTATACAACTCGCTGTTTCATTGGCCTCTCGGCGAAATGCGACGAATTTCATGGGTTTTGCAGAGAGATGAAAAGGGAGTATGTCGTGCACCTTTAAAGCTGAAAAATGTTGGAATGCCCCTGTGTTTGGAACTTTGATCCACAGGTCTGTGATTGTTTTTGTTCCAGAAATTTGCACCTTGGAGTACATCTTGGAGATCTTCAAATGCCTGTTTCTGTTGTGTTTGGGGGCATACAAAGGGACAGATTCATCTTTGTTTCCCATATCCTTGACTCCTTTATCAGAAGGTGGTCAATGTTGCAAGGGCATGCATGTTTTTTCTTGGAAGACCTGGAACCGCGCACCCCCAGAGTTTGTAAAAATGCCACGATGATCCACCCAATGGGCATTTTTAACATCCCCATACATCACCCAAATCCAGGAATGTTGTTGGATGTTGTTGGTGACTTTCCCAATGGTTGGATTCTCTTCAAAAGGGACACAGCTCACGCCCTGACCGTGATTTCTGAGTGGCTTGACCCGCTTGACCCCCGAGACAAGCGGGGCATCAGGCCTACAAGTGTCCAGCAAAAGAAGTAGATCGAGCTTATGACCAAGAAGATCCCAACGTGCTTCGCTTTTGGCGGGTAAACCTTGCTGGAGGGACCTGGAGGGATTGGATATATATATATATAACATTATTTTTATAGTTATTCAGGTTTCACACACATGTGCTATTATGTATGTTTGCATATGTATATAAAACATTAATCTTATAAATATTTAGGTTTCACACATATGTGCTATTATGTATGTTTATATATATATAACATTAATCTTATAATTAGTTACGTTTCACACATATGTTCTCTTATGTATATATATAAAGCATTAATCTTACAGTTACCCAGGTTTCACGCATATGTGCTATCATGTATGTATATATATATAGCATTAGTCTTATATGTTTTAGTCTTATAATTATTTAGGTTTCACACATATGTGCTCTTATGCATATATATATAACATTAACCTTATGATTATTCAGGTTTCACATATCTGTGCTATTATTTATGTATATAGAAATACCTTTGAAATATCATTAATCTTAATTTTAGTTATGTTTCACAAATCTGTGCTATCATGTATGTGTATATATATATAGCATTCGTCTTATAAATATTTAGGTTTCACACATATTTGCTATTATGTATTTGTATATATAACATTAATCTTATAATTAGTTACGTTTCACACATCTGTGCTATTATAATCTAATACATATGTTTATATATATAACATTAACCTTATTATTAGTTACGTTTCACACATGTGTGCTCTTATGTATGTATGTATGTATGTATGTATGTATGTATGTATATATATATGTAACACGAGTCGTACAATTCTTCAGGTTTCACACATATGTGCTTTTATGTATATATATATAATTCTATATATTGAAATACATGGGATACTATGAAGATACACTGAGCATGAACATGTTTCACAACTGCAGGTTCTGCAGTGCGTCGCTATGAGAAATGGCCATGGTCAAACTTGGGCACCCAAACTTGGGTGGTACCCATGGCCTTAAATTTTTGACCCATATCCAGAATTGAGAACCGTTGTAATCTCATAATTTTATATCCGGTTCATATTAAACACACCCTATAGCTCCCAATATGTGGTTTCATCCACTACTAAACTATGGTTTCTGGGGTTTAAGGCTGGGGGAAGGGATTAGTAAATAGATACTTTGGCGTGGCATATGTGATCTAAACACAAAGGTCTTCACAGCAGCCTTTAAAATAGATCAACATAGCACGTGTTTATGTCGCTTGTTTTTGGTTGAAAACAAACACATAAACAGTAACATCATCCGTTTGTTCTTTTTGTTTGATGATACTCCTAATTTAATAGGTGAAAATACAAAACATTGCCACCATTGGCCAAGGGAAAGCTGGTGGGAAACGAACTCCACACGAGTTCAACAAAAGCACGTCACCGTGTGTTCAATGTTTTTTCCTTCCAGAAGAAAGCAGTTCAAGGTGATGTAATTCGGGGTACTGCAAAACAACATGGTTTTATATGGTTTCATATCATTTTAGAATTTTTGGTGCGAAAAATCAATAATTTCATAGGAATTCCATAAGGTTTTGATATCACAGTGCTAAGTTCATGGGTTTTCTTGTAAGGAATACAGGATTACCCTGAAACCCACCCAATCCACCCATGCTGCACTCAGGTGGCTATGAAAGACCTCATCATGGCCACTGGGACGGAATGATGCGCGACTTCCGATGAGTAGGGCACTTCTTGTCCCCAGAAACACAACATATGCTAAGGATTGATGATGGAAATTGTGTTTATAGATGTTTATATTATTATTATGATATATAAATAAATATATATGCTATTATTGTGTGTTTTGATGATGAAGATGGTGATGATGATGATGATGATGATGATTGATGATGATTGATGATGATTGATGATGATGATGGTGATGATGATGATGATGGTGATGATGATGATGATTATGATGATGATTATGATGATGATGATGATGATGATGATGATGACTGGTTGGTGGTTTGGAACCATGGATTTTTTGCTGACTTTCCATATATTGGGAATGTCATAATCCCAACTGACTTTCATAATTTTCAGAGGGGTAGGTATACCACCAACCAGTTTATTTTGATGTTGGTTGTTATGATGATTATACTATTGTTATCATTTAATGTAGAATCATACAACCGCAGCAATGATGTGGATCACAGGAAAATTAGTCATCGTCAATTTATCATGTGTTTAAATGATAATACACATAGATGGTTCGCCATGAAGACAGTGAGGAGCTTACATTTGCCATCATTGATGTTGACGACAATGACCCATTCAGCTTGGTGACTGTATCATACGTGGAGCACGCAGGTATGGATGATGGTGAGTAAAGGAAGACCAACCAAAATGGACATTAGTTTCCATTTTGATGGTTAGATCAGTGAGATCCCACTTTCATTGTTTGCAACCCCAAAATTTCGGTTGCTTGAAACATTTCATGTTTTGGGATCAAAAACAACTGAGCTCACTGGCAGCTGGAATGATGGTTAAGGAATTCATCCCCTGCCGAACGTTTCAGGTTTGTGAGTTATCACAGACTTATATTTGGATGAGGGTTTCTTTTGTGGCAGTTTGATTCTCTAGACACGGTGACATTTTTTTACATGGATGATGGATAGCAAACCCAAAACAAGATAAATATGTAATTTTAATAGACTATGATAGTGAATACATATAATGTACAACACATATATACTGGTTGGTGGTTTGGAACCTGACAGTGATTTTTCCATTCAGTTGGGAATGTCATAATCCCAACTGACTCATATTTTTCAGAGGGGTAGGGCTCAACCACTAACCAGCATACATAGCCCGTAGCCCCCGGAAAGGTCAAACAGAGATCACCACAATGATGTGGCACAGCATCTCTTTTGGGTCGCAAAAAATAGCCCCCCAAAAAAAATCAACACATGTATGCTCGCCATAAAAAACCCATCCCATTTATAGATGTCACTAAAATGCTGGATGATGGTTAGTAGTAGGGTTCATCTCTCTGATAATCCAATCTAATTTCAGGTCTGCGAATTAATGAAATTGTCACCCGCCGTCATCATCTAGAATATCTATAACCATAACCTATGGAATGGAAAAATGATCTGTAATGACACTGTAACTCTCCTTTTTAGGACCATTATCTAGGGTAACCATAGATATAATTAACCATCATCTAGAATATTTATGAACCACCATCCTATTTATGATGGTTCATTATATCTATTATTCCATATAGAATTACCCTCTGGTGAACTAACATAGCAATGGAAAACCACCATTCTGAATGGGAAAATCCACTATTTCTATAGCCATTTTCCATTGCTATGTTAGTTCACCAGAGGGTAATTCTATATGGTTTTAATAGATATAGAATGATAGAAACCATCTATTATAGAATTAACTTCATAATATATATATATATATATTTATATTTATAAACCATCTATTATAGAATTATTCACCATGTCCCTTTTTGTAACAGTTCGTTTGTTGCAGGCGAAGGCGACCCGAGCCTGTCAGCGCTTGGCAGCCCTGAAGCCCTCCGAGCTTCGCAGACGTCCGGGACGCCCGAGGGCGTTCGGGCGTTCGTGGCAGCGTTCGGGATCGTTCGGCATGGACAACTCGTGGGATTCCTACCATGTGAGGCCCCCCAGGTAGCTAAGTTGGTTTATAAGCCCCAGTAACATCCAGTAACTATAGTTATTTGCGTACCATAAACCATAGTTATTGGAGTTATGTGCACCAACTTAGCTATCGAACGGGGGCCTCACATTGTATGAAACATCGGTAACTCTATAGGGGGGTGACCTAGTTTATAAGGGAAAATCCCATTCAAATTGACATTGAGAACTGGGGGTAGCCCCTATTTTTACGGAAATAATATGTAAATAAATAATATGTGATATAATGTGATATAATTGGTAGTGGTAACTATTGGTAACTAGATAGATATAAGATGATATAACTGGTAACTATTGGTAAATCATAGGATATGATGCTATATATTATAGTCATCCCCAAATATATGGAACAATAAATCACCATCAAATTAGTAGGGGTTTACTTTTCCATCTATGTGGGAATGACTATACTGATATTGACTGATACGACTCTAAGTGTAGATGGTAGATATCAGCATAACTGGGAACTATGATGCAACCAGCAGAACTTTTTCGAATTTCCCCACCTTGTATGGTTCCATGAAAACCCCGTTGTTTCAGATGTTTCTTTTGTGTTTTTTTTCTGGCTGGGATTTGATGAACATAAACATGAAAAAATGATGATTGAACCCGCCAACACTTGGGATTTCAGTGATTTAACATCCAGTAAACTCTTAAGATGAGAGGGATTTCAGCCACAAGTTCATAGGAAATTGTCTTCAGCAATATCAATCATCAAGATAAATATATAATTAAAAACTCAACCAGATGATTATTCGGGACAATGCTACTGTGCATATCGGGGAGTATCATAATCCATGACCAGAACCCCCATGAGAAAACAGTATAATGAAATGACAAATTGTTTGAAACACTGCTTAATTGCCATGAGTGAATGGCACATTCCCAGTTACACACCACATTTTTTCAAAGGAATGCTCTTCCAAGTTGGAGCAACTGCGTAAAACTTCTGGTCGCTGCGAGTTAATTTGGATTCAAAGTGAACTGTCAAAAAGATGCAGGAAACTCAAAACCATAGGGTCCCCACTGGAAACGAACAAGTTGGGCACAATTACCTGCTCACTTTCTGGCAAGAATTAATCTCTACTCTCTGAAACGATGGTTTCTAGGCAAGGAATTGACATTCGGGGGAGGAGACTTAAAGTGTTGGGCATTCTCAAGCTCATAAAGATCGACATTGGTAACCCTGGACAGGGGCAAATCTGTTCACCGCTTCTCTGTGTAACAAAAAATGTGTGTAAATGCGTTTGTGTCTGAATGTTTAATCTGTGTGTAAAGGCGTTTTTGTGTAATATGTTCTATGTGTTAAAAAATGTGTAAAAACCTCTGTGTGTGTGTAAAAAACAAAAACATCTGTACAGCAACTCATCTGCGTGTCACATGAACTGCGAGCCCTGGAGCAGACCGCCTGTGCAGAGAAAAAGTGCATAAAACTGTGGATGTATGATATATATCATCATGTTCCTCCTCCTCCTCATCATCATCATCGTCATCATCATCATAATCATATGTTCTTGTGTTGTGTATCCTATCCTCTCCTTCCTGTTTTTTTCCTGGTTTCGGGCTATCGCCTACCTCAGATGTTTGAGGTTCAATCAGAGGGTGGCATGGGCACGCTAGCGCGATGCCAGATCGTGCTGGAAGCTGTCCACGCAGCTGACCAATCCGAATGTTTCATTTGTTGATATATGGTGGTTTCCTAAAAAAGAGGTACCCCAAAATTATACATTTAAGAGCTTTTAGTAGGATTTTCCATTACAAAGCATCCAGCTATTGAGGTAGCTCCATTTCAGGAAACCTCCATATCATCAACCCTGCACCTTTTTTTTCCCCTTTCGTCCATAACCTTGGAGGATAGATAGTTCAATTCTTTAGTTTTTTTTGCTATGGATGGAACATAACCATTACTAGGATTTGTTTCTTTTGTGGACTACGAAAAATTGACCATGCTTATAAGATGTTTCACAAATCATCATGAATCCATTTAAATGCAGCAGTTCCATCATAAATTGCTGAAAGGTGGTTTGGAACATTTTTATATTTTTCCATATATTGGGAATAATAAGCCCAACTGACTTTCATATTTTTCAGAGGGGTTGAAACCACCAACCAGATTGGACATTGATTGCAGTTGTAAACCAACAGAAAGCGTTCTCCAAGAGAGGCCCCACATTGCAACTTGAGTTGGATCGTCCAAGAAGTCATTTCCTATCAGAACGTTGCAACCTATCCTCAGTATACAGAACAGAACCATTTTGCATATTGCATAAATAAGAATAGCAATCAGTATGATACTGTGAATCAACCATGTTCATTCCTTGTTTTGCTAGTTACATCAGTTATATATAGTTATATCCTAATTTTCCCACCATGTGTTCGAATCTTCCCATAAGTCCCATATATGTATCGATTCTGATTATAGATATTTCTTGTCAAACTATAATATATATATACACATTAATATTGGACATAACTGGGATATATACAAATGTATTACGAAACGACATTCCCTTGTAGTTCGCTAAGTTGACGCAAATAACTTCGTGAATATGTCGAACTAGTTACTATATGTTTCTATGGTTGATAGACCAAGCATCACTGGCGGCTTGTCAGGTGCCGAAGCCTTGGGTCTAGGACCTCGACGTGTCGCCCAGGCCTGCGCTGGCACCTGTGGAGTTTCCGGCTCCATGGTGCTGGTATATACACACACCTACATGACTGGGTGATTTATGTTGGGCAAATGTTGGGATACATATTCCAGCACCATGGAACATATGGGATATGAAAAATGAACTACATTAGGCGAGAACTTGAACAGATTATTAATTTCAAAAAAATCAAGAAAGGATGGCTTAACTGTTCAACAATTAAAGTCAACCTATTCGTAGGTGTAGCCACAAGGGCTGGAAATTCGATCGATTTTTCGTCATGTGACCTCTTTATTTACCACAATTTGCCCCTCTAAACCTATATTTATGGTGGCCAGAGTTATGGCCCTTCACACTTATACGTGACTATCTGACCCCATTTGAGTGATATATCGCAAAGCAGTTGCAGGAGTTATGGCTTTTCCCATGGCCATGGCTTTTGGGGCGCAACGAGTCAACGATGTTTTTTTCCCAGGCGGAGGACCAGCCGGATCCCAAAGTGGCCTTCGTGAAGCTTCTTTTGAGGCCACCGACCCACTTCGGGATGAAGTTAACACCCATTTCGAGACCCAGCAATGTGAAAAATCGTTGGATTTCCATGGAGGGATGCCCACAAACCGAGGTTGCTTTCTTAGATCATGACACACACACACATATATATATACAGCCTTGTTTATGTAATGATTATACGCACATGCACACACATATATATAATTATACATAATATCAGTTCTCAATTATAACCCACTGAGGTCATTGGTTTAGGGTTTTCATTTAGTTTTTCTTTAAGCCACAACACGTGCAAACATCCAAGTGTCACATCGGGGATGACCTTAAATGGGGTTTCTTCAAATGTTGGATCCCCAAAACCACGGGGTTTCAATGCTGAAATAATTTGGCGCTTCCCATTTTTGGACCATGGCATTGGGGTGAAAATCTCTACCCCTGAAATCACTGGGTCAGGGGCGTTGAGATGTCCGGTTCTGGGAAGTACCTTGTGTTCGGTTCAGGAATCGCCCCTTAGTTACGTTTCAGGGGCGCTTTGGATCACACCACCAGGCATCACCACCAGGTCACCAGGTATCACCAGCTACTGCTAGCTTCTTGGGGTCAGGCTGAACTTGGAAAAGGACCTGGAAGAATGACTTAAAGTCAAGGTGCGCCTCAAGGGCTTAAGAAGCCTCAAGATGTCGAACGTCAAATATCGCCAGATCCATCGCTGACGCCTGCGCGACCTTTCATCATGGGACCCGTCGTGGAAACTCACGTCCTGTGGTCACGTCGTGGAACGAGACGATTTCGAAGCTATTGGAAATGTATTCACGCGTAGTGTTCAAAGCCCTGTTGCTTGATGCTTCTTGGGGTTGTGAAATCCAATATGTAGTGGATGTGCAATCCATTCAGGGAAATCCTGCTTGGAGAATCATGAGAATCTCATCCCACTTAGTATAACTGGTTAGTAATTAAGTATAGTATATTATACGATATTATACAATGTGGCCCCCCCCAGTTATAAGTTGATTTTTAAGCCCCAGTAACTATAGTTATAAGTACCATAAACCATAGTTATTGGAGTTATATATTGGCACCAACTTAGCTATCGAACGGGGGCCTCACATTGTAGTTATAACTTGTAACTATAGTTATAACCCATTTATAAATGGGATAACCCTACTTACCTTCTGGCTATTTATTTTTTACATAGCAATTTGCCAAATCACCGCTTTTTGTTCGGCAATTCAGCATGTTTATCATCTAGAAGTGGGAGATTTTCCAGCATGTGACTGATTACCAGACGGTGCCATCAATATCATTCAATATCCCCATGATTATTCCTATTGAACCATATCAAACAATATTGAACTATATAAAACCATGTTAAACCATATAAAACCATATTAAAGCCACCATTTGCAGAGTTTGCCTTGGGTTTCTCCAACGTTTGTTATTTGCCCGGCAGTCCCTTTTCGCTGCGAGGACTGGTCCGGCTCCGACGTCCGACGTCAGCAAGGCGATTAACGGTTGAATTCGAAGCTGCCTTGGGATGGGACTGTTAACAAAAACTAAGGTTGGAATGGTTGAGAATGGTTAATAATGGTTGATAGTGGTTGAGAATGGTTAATAGTGCTTAATAATGTTAATAATGGTTAATAGTGCTTAATAATGGTTGATAGTTGTTGATATTGGACTTCAATGGCCATCTCAGGAACCTAAATTGGAGGTACCTTATATAAGGCCTATATAAGGCCTATGTAAGGGAACATCCCCACAAAATATAGTCTTATATGGTACAGTACCTCCATTTTAGGATCCTGAAATTCCCATTGATAACTGGTTAATAGTGCTTAATAATGTTAATAATGGTTAATAGTGCTTAGTAATGGTTGATAGTTGTTGATATTGGACTGGTTAACTATAAGTTTTAACTGGTTAATAATTCACTATAAGTCCAATAACTTCAATGGCCATCTCAGGAACCTAAATTGGAGGTACCTACCATATATAAGGCCTATATAAGGCCTATGTAAGGGAATATCCCCACAAAATATGGTCTTATATGGTACAGTACCTCCATTTTAGGATCCTGAAATTCCCATTGATAACTGGTTAATAGTGCTTAATAATGTTAATAATGGTTGATAGTGATTGAGAATGGTTGATAATGGTTGACACCCTCTGGTAAACATACAAAAAGCTATGGAAAACCACCATGTTGAATGGGTAAATCAACTACAAATGGGCCAATTTTACCAGAGGGTAAGTCATATCCCATGGATAACTATGGTCAACTGTGGTTTATGGTAGATATATCTGTTGGTTTATAAGTCCAATAACTGGGGTTTATGGTAGTTATAACCATTATAGTTGCAGGAGTTATAATCTCATTTATAATTGTTAAAGGCCGTAACTGGAAGATGTAGCCTGAGAGGGATTGCAATGGCTATCGCATGCTGTAAGGATGAAAACCATGGCTATAAGCCAAAAGCCCTGAATTATCCCCCCGGAGTTGGAATATAGCCCTTGCAAATCTGGTCATCCGCTTAACGTCTGGTGCTACTGCTATGTGGGGTTTCGTTTTGGGAAGGTTCTTGTTGATTTGCTTCACTACGATAGTTGCTGTATATACCCATAGGATCCATGTACGGTATATATGCTAACATTTGGGGTATATTGATGGTAAATGTTACTTATAATATATATAGCATACATGGATCCTATGGGTATATGGTGGATGTATCTACTCGGGGAACACCAAACAAAAAAGCTACGGTCGCTGGCGATGCAACGTCCCACTGGTTGGAGCTATGGAAGACCACGGTTTTATAGGTCGGTGAATCATAAATCATCCACTGGGCCACATTCGCTACAATGTGAGCCCCCCCCAGTGATGTTAGTTGGTTTAGATTCGCCCCAGTAATTATAGTTATTTGCGTACCATAAACCAGAGTTATTGGAGTTATGTTCACCAACTTAGCTATCCAACGGGGGCTCACATTCGCTATGATGCGTCGCTATGTTTGATAAGCAGGGAGTACATGCCCTATGTTTTTGGAAGACATTCTTATTGTGTTTGATACTTGATAGTTCATCAAGAATGCCTGACTGGTCTCTTCAAATCCAATCTACTGTCAGGTTTGGGAGATGGATTGTTCAACCGCCAGCAAAGTTGGGTCATTACATGTCCTTTTCTATGGTTTCGACCGCCACCTTGGTTCCAAATCCATATGTTTATCCGGAAAATGGTCTGTATTCATATGTATTCGTATATGTTGATATTACTGTAAAATAAATAAATAAATATATATATATACAAATATACATTAACATATGTATTCATATATGTATTCATATTACGTATTTACATGTATTCAATATGTATTCATCGATCAACGAAATAACTTTCAACTTATTTGTTTTGTTTTGTACTAACAAATACATGTTGTTTCAGCTGGAATTGAAGATCGTTTTTGTTGGTAACCAGATCCATTATTTGCCATAGAAGAGACCCCTCCCGAGTCCGTGCATCAGGCGCCGCTGTCACCACTGCCACAGACTCCCCCGGAATATGGAGAAAGCAGTCGATGGCTCAGTGGGCGACAAAATTTTGGCCGGGTATCCAACAGTTGTAGTCCTTAAAAGTTACAAATGGGATTCTAACTCCTGCAACTAGTTGGTTATTAATATCACTTGAGTGAGGGTATGAGCCATTTATAACTATTAAGGCCTATACTGTGAGGAGTGTTCAAAATTTATACTTTCAAATATATGGTATTGGGGTTATTCATGTTCCATTTTCTGGGAATTCCTGGTAAATCCAACCAGTATAAAGGGACAGGCTTGGAACCCTGCTCACTTGACGTTTTTTTTCATCAGCCACTTACAAATGAGACAACCAAGGAATTGGGGAAGTGTCAAACCAGGCTTGTCACTCACCCATGGTTGGCTGAGATTCCCATGGTAAATAATAATGAAGTCGCAGATAGTCCCAGGTGCTCTGCGCACTCTCATCCTCCTGGTGACGGTCCGAGGGTTCTCACTGGCCCAACAGCACCGACACCTGGAGTCGCGCCACCACCAGCACCTGCTCAACCGAGCCAGACTGGTCTGGCAAGTTCTGCAGTCACCCGTCAGAAGCTCGGTGTGAGTAAGAGAAAACTTCCTCCAAAATGCCATGAGCACCTCGACTTCTTACAGGGTTCTCAGATTGATGAGCTGGCAGGCTTGGTGGAGCAATCAAAATCTGTTATCACTATTGAGAAGTGGTTGGTTAACACACTCGGGCTCACACCTGGAAAGCCTGCAGGGCTAACTCCAGAGAAAGTCTGCAATGACTGTCAATGACTTGACCTCCAGTAAATTATCAGTTCGACCCTGAAAATAACCAATTTCTAGTGGAAACTCATCTATCAAGCCCGATGACTGCCAGGGTCGAACTGTTAATTTTCTGGAGGGTAACACTTATTCCAGCAACGGCGCTTGACCGGTCAAGCAGAGTTTTTGACAGCGACAGTGGCAGAGCACTGTCCAAGAATTGGACATACCCCTTGCTGGGTAAATTTCTCCCAAACCCTGGAAATCCATGGGTTTTTATAGGGAAATCATCCCCAAATATCCGAACTATTCAGGTGAGTGAAATATTTTCATCCACCCATATATATATAATTATATATATATATCAGTATATATCCCATCATATCACCATGTTTTATGGTTAAACTGTCAGTGAAATATGATAATTTACCCAGCCCCATGATGCACCGAACCAGTGGATTGGGGGGGCACTGGCACGACATTGACAAGTCGCCATGTCCCTTTTTGTTCCCGTCCCTTTTATCGTTCTGGCCACGGGATGAAATAACTCCTGCAACTAGTTGGTTAATGATGGTTATATATCACTTTAAATGTGTTTTTTAGCCAGTGATATCAACTTTGAACCACCATCAGTTGATTATATATCACTAGTTGATGATGTCACTTATATATGGGGTAAGTTAGCCAGTTATAATTGTTAAAAGGTGCTCTCACCATGAAGCTCCAGAGTTTTTGCGCATTGCTCAATTTGCTGTTTTTCCCCACCTGCCAGGTGAGGGTTGTTAGATTTTATGTCAGTTGCCTCCTCCTGCCTCGTCCTCCTCCTCCTCCTCCTCTCCTCCTCTCCTCCTCGTCCTCCTCCTTCTCGTCCTCCTTCTCCTCCTCCTGCTCCACTGCGATCCATGTCAGTGTGTCCTGCCGGACCTCAACCACGACCATCCACGTTCAGTGTGCCCTGCCGGACCTCAACCACGACCATCACCGCCCAGTGTTCCCTGCCGGACCTCAACCGCGAGTATCCCCGCCCAGTGTTCCCTGCCGGACCTCAACCACGACCATCCACGCCCAGTGTTCCCTGCCGGACCTCAACCACGACCATATCCCAGTGTGCCACCTAGTGCCTGCCAGTGTGCCGGAAGGAAAATGTCAGATAGAGTGCCAGAAGATTTGCCAGGTAGAATGCCAGAAAATATGCCAGAAGATATGCCAGATAGATATGCCAGAAGATATTCCAGAAGATATGCCAGATAGAATGCCAGATAGAATGCCAGAAGATATGTCAGCCAGAAGATATGCCAGATAGAATGCCAGATAAGATAGAATGCCAGAAGATTTGCCAGATAGAATGCCAGAAGATATGCCAGAAGATATGCCAGATAGAATGCCAGATAGAATGCCAGATAGAATGCCAGAAGATATGTCAGATAGAATGCCAGAAGATATGCCAGATAGAATGCCCAGATAGATAGAATGCCAGAAGATATGCCAGATCATATGCCAGAAGATATGCCAGATAGAATGCCAAATAGAATGTCAGAAGATATGTCAGATAGAATGCCAAATAGAATGTCAGAAGATATGTCAGATAGAATGCCAGAAGATGTGCCAGTAAGAACATGTATAAATGTCATGGTGGGGATCACACGAAGTAAAGTATTTTTTTTGGCTCGGTGCCGCATGGTGTTTTTTGAGGAGTCCGTTAAGATCTCACCTTTGGTTGAACAGACGCGGATACGAAATCTCAATGTTTGAGAATTGAATTTCCACGGGGAAACAGCATGTTCCATGGCTAAAGCATTTTTCGTTGATGCTTAAATCACCATGTTGGATGGTTCACCATTTTTCCCGGTGAAATCCCTAGCAGATTGGTGGTTGTAAGGACTCACAGTGGTTCCAGTGCTGGCCCTGCTGGGCCATGGGCTCCAGGTCCAAAGTTCTCCCACATGTCGATGTCGCCGGAGGTGCAGCAGGATGAAATATTTCTTGGCGACTCCAAATCTGATGATATCCGTATCTAAATAAAGATATTAGCAATATATATATATATATGTATGTATATATATATATATATACTGTACATATATATATACACACAAATTATACATATACATATATATATATATCATGTTCCAGCATGTTTCATTAAAGCAGCCTATAGTTTTCCCATGTTCCCATCTGTTTTCCCATGCGATGCGAGGTCCACCAGGTCGGCGACGCAGCGGCGACGAGGATCCAGGCCAATGTTCGCCCGGATGCTGAGGGCAGGGTTTTTTTGCTGGGGATCCCGGGAAACGCCCAAGAAAAAGCACGTGGCTTTGACCCTCTGGTAATTTAACGTAGCTATGATAAAATCACAATTTTTAATGGGAAAAACCACTATAAATGGCCATTTTCAATAGCTATGTTAGTTTACCAGAGGGTACCCGGGAAACTTTCACAGGTTGCGAAGTTGAAACTGGCTATAGAAATAGTGGATTTACCTATAGAAAATGGTGATTTTCCATAGCTATCTATGTAAACGTTTACCAGAGGGTACCTATCAAACATAGGAGAACTGATTTTAGATGGACATTTATATGGAAAAAGATGGAAAATGGTGGAACATGGGGATTGAACTAACAACAATGAGGATTTACTTGGGATATCATCAGAAATAAATGGGGGACAAATGGGTAGTGTTCAGAAATACGTAAATGGAACTAAACTGTTCTTGACATGTGGTGCCGCCCCAAACAAAGTAGGTTTATAGCTTGATAAACCAGGGTTTATCGTGGATATATCGAACTAGTTAATGGTGCTTATAAACCAACGAATGCGATTGGGGGGCACCGCATCGTAACTTGGCATTTACCATGGTATCCCAAAAGCTTGAGGTTGTAGATGTCTTTTTCCTACTGGTTGATCGATCGAGGGATTCATATCACAGGATGTTTGAAAACATGTGGCAAAATGGATTGCACGATCCAGATAAATATGGGTGTATCTATATTCATCATCAAAAGTCAAGCAAAGTAGAGTAATATATATATATAATATGGTGTTCAAAAAACGTGTGTTTCCTGAATGTGCTGTTTAACTGGATGGCTTGATAGTAAGAATGACCAGCTTAGCGGGTGGTTTATTGCAGGCATTGCGTTGAAAAACTGATTTCAAGATGACTGGTTTGGGTTTGATCCAGCACATTTTTCTCAACAAGTTGCCTTCTTACTGTACCAACCCAGCTTACAAACTAGATTCAGAGCACCAGAACATGACGACATGAGAATTACTGATGAACCACCTCCTGGGTTCATCCCAAGAAATGACAATAACCTTGTTTGAATGACTTGTTTATTCGGACATTGGTGGTAGACCATGGGATTGGGGGCATTCTATTTTCAAACAAACCTACAATGTGAGGCCCCCGTTCGATAGCTAAGTTGGTGCCAATAACTTCAATAACTATGGTTTATGGTACGCAAATAACTATAGTTACTGGGGCTTATAAACCAACTTATAACTGGGGGGGCACATTGTATGTTATCCCATATCCGAGTACAATACTGACTCTGAATTGCTCACACATTTTCCAACTTTTCCAACATTTCTAAATAGGCATGCAACCCAGCTTCCAATTCCTCGACTTGGATGTAGACTCTCTAGACCACCTTGGGAAGTTGTCAATGACCATTTATAACAGTTTATAACCTACCTGTATATATATATATATTTATAAAGGGTACCCACAGTGGTTAGCATCCAGTTACCAATGAGGATGCACATACATTGACAGAAAACCTGTCATTCTTATAGCATGTTTTCCATGAAAATTCTCCGAAAATGCTGGAGCCTATAGATATCATGGAGGATCCTAACTGGTTGGTGGTGACTGGAACCATGGAATTTTATGACTTTCCACAATAGATGGGATCATATTTACAAGCCCACTTAGTATATAACGGGTTAGTAACCACATCTGGTTGGTGGCTTCAAACATTGTTTATGACTTTCCATATATTGGGAATGGAACAATCATCACAACTGACGAACTCACTGAACTCATATTTTTCAGAAGGGCTTGGTGGCTCAACCACCAACCAGAATATCATGATATATCTAAGCCATAGTTTTCATCAGTAGGGCTCAACCACCAACCAGCTAAGTTTTATAGGCTCTACAGTGGTTCAACCATGTTTTTCTGGTTACAACTGGCCGTTCCACCGAGGTGGTTCAGCCACCCGGCAGCGCTTGGCGCAGGCTTGTCTTTGGGGATTTTTGGGGGCGCCAGGGAAGATGTACATAAGTATATAAAGTGCAATAAGCGGAACATTGAGGTCCTAACATTAAAGTCCTATAATACAATAGTGATGCATTGGTAAGTTCTATCTTGTTGGGGGTTACTATACTTCAAAAGGGCAATAATGATTGATGATTGAGGACTATTCGGAGACTATTCTTGCTACTAAGAGTGATATTTGCAACAGTGACAGGCAGTGAGTACAAAGTGTGCCCCCCAGTTCTGATTTGTGTCATAAACTGTCGAAATCCATTGATATATCACGATTTATCCATCATTATCAATATCAACTATCAATCACAATTTGTGGTGGTTACAGTGGTTCCATTCACCCAAATTCCAAGGGATTTTTACGATTGTTTCATTGTGCTACAGGCATCTGACAAAGTCGTACCCGTTTTAGGAAAAATCGTTGTGCCTTGGGGAAGTGTGTTTCGCAAAAGTCGTGCCTTTAGCAAGAACGCATAGGAACTCTGGAGTTTGGATGTTATGTAACCCGTTTTCTTATGAGATCACGTAGCTGATCACTATTAGCATGCAGAATTCCAGGTTGTGGGTATGTTGATTTGTTATAGGTAAGATGGCGTTGAGCTGGTGATTTGATGATGTTGGATGTTCATCCCAGAGTATCCTGTTTTTCCCGAATGCGTAGCGAAGGGTTCCCGTTTATAGTCTGGGGGTCTGGGGGCTGGACCCTTGTTCGCCTCGAGTGGCTCGTCGCGTCGTCGTCGGGTCGGCGTCGCATCGTTGTCGGGTCGGCGTCGCGTCGTCGTCGCGTTGTTAATTTAATTCCGCGTCTATGGGGGAAGCTGCAAAACCTCTCCTTTTCGAAAGTTTCCAAGCAGGTTGTAGTACAAAGTAGTACTGGGAAGTGCTTTGTGCAAGCTTTGTGGTACAAAGTAGTACTGGAACGTGTTTTGTGCAAGCTTTGTAGTACAAAGTAGTACTGGGACGTCTTACACTTTACACTCTACACTCCACACTCCACACTCTACACTTTACACACTCTACACTCCCCACTCCACACTTTACACTCCGCACTCCTTACTTTACACTCCACATTCCACACTCTACACTTTCCACTCCGAAGCCTGACAATTTGCCGAAGTGACCCAGAGAATAGAAAATAATGATGCAGAATCCCAGCGTTTACATGCAGGTTGCACACAAGAATGACATTATAAGAGAGTAGAAAATCAATATTTTCATCAATCGCGTTCCATTGTGTTTCATTGGTTCTTTATGTCTAAAATGCATGGTTACACTTTTATTGAGGACAGCGTTCCATGCAAACAAGTATTTAGGCATGACTTAGGCGTGACATTGTCGCTTCCCTGTAGGGCTCAGAGTCACTGCAAATAGTTAGATCCTATCGCAAGAAATTTGAGACACTACATGAATGATATATTGCTACAATGTGAGGCCCCCCAGTTATAAGTTGGTTTATAAGCCCCAGTAACTATAGTTATAAGACCATAAACCATAGTTATTGGAGTTGTGTTCACCAACTTAGCTATCTTGGGGGCCTCACATTGTAGTGACTTGATCCAATGTCTATTTTCCCATTGTGGTTGAATTTTCAAAGGGTTCTTAAGTACTGCTATGATCCATGACTGGTTGGTGGTTTCAAATACTGTTTTATTTTCCATAATATATGGGATAATCCTTCCCATTGACTTATATTTATTTTTCGGAGGGGTAGGTATACCACCAACCAGTATTGCTATGATCTATGAAGAATTCAGGCATAATCCTTTGTGCCTAAGATGATTGGTTTCCCAAAGAATGCTTTTGGTATGGTTTTGTCTGAAGGCGATTGACCCAAGGTTTCTCAATGAATGCCATGAAAGCGGTAGGGAAAACGATGGTTAACCATAAAATTTTGGAGTAACCATCAAGTTTATAAGTTCAATAGCATAGAGTTTATCATAGATATATCTATAGTTAATGGTGGTTATAAACCAAGAATAATATAACATAAGGGTGGCACGATTTTTCTCTCCAGGAGGCGGAAGCCGCCAGCACCATTCAGCGAAACGTCCGTGGCTGGGCTTTTCACCAATCTTACGGAATACCCTCTGGTAAACTGACTATGGTGAATAATGGTTAATCATTGTTAATAATGGTCAATAATGGATAATGATGGATAATGGCCCAACTAACATTTATTTTTATAGGATACCCTCTGGTAAACGTTTGCATAGCTGTGGAAAATCACCATGTTTTTTAAGGAACATCAACGAACACAAAGGACCAGTTGGAGTTTGTTCGACCAACGAACAGAAGTTAGCCCCTTGATGGCAGGTAAAAAACAGTTATAGCCCTTAGCAGTTACGGCCATGGGATGAAATAACTCCTGCAACTAGTTGGTGAAAGAAAGTGAAACATATCACTTAAATAGGGCAAGTTAGCCAGTTATAGCTGTTGAGGACCATAACTGTGGGTATAGAACCAATGATTATCCCCTTACTAAACCCTATTATGATATGATATGATCTTAAATATGGTTTAATAAAGAAACCAATAAGATAGAATAAGGACATAATTTGATATCATAAGGATATTGATCGATTTGCCCTCCAGTCAACACACAAAAAGATGAGGAAAACACAGTGTTTGTAGATCGTTTCCCTTGGGAAACCCTGAGTTTTCCACATCTCTGCTACTTTACCCCAGGCTAATCAAACGTGGCTAGGAAATCCTCTATGGAGGTTTCTGAATCGTCCATTGCCACGTTTGAGTACCGGAGGGTAACCATCAAAATACGGAAATGGGTATACAATGGGTATACAATATATATATGTACGTATATATACATATGTATATATGTAATGGGATATAAGCAACACCATTGTACTTGGGTGTGTTTCACTTAATGGGGAATTGACCTCCCCAGTTATGGCAGTTTTCGTGGGAAGACATGATGATTAGACACACCCAAATGAACACAAATTTCTAGACACACCCAAATGAACTCCCAAATAAAATGAACTCGTTTTGTCTAGATGACATATGTTCAATCAGTGTATCCACAACTTGAATATCTCGGAGGGTGATTGTTTCTTTTTTTTCCCCCCGCATTACCACATCCATGAAATATAGCCACCTAGAAGTGCATGATTTGTGAACCGCATAGGCCATTGAAGAAGCAACATGGGGTATTATTTGTCTGGGCGACTTGTGGTTGGTGGGATCGTCTGTAGCAATTCCCCTTCCGTTTTTTGTATGCTTGAAGTAATCCCACCTTAGATACGATTGTAGGATTATTAGGCAGTGATATCCCACGTGCATGATGCACATCCAAGTGCTGAAATGGTGAAACTGGTGGAACTCGGGAAATGTCGATACGTTGATAAGAGAGGTGAATGGTGGGTTCAATGATGTTTTTGTTTCTCCCTAGTTGGTTGATGTTGGTTGAGAACAAAAGGGTGCTTAACCTCCCATTTTTTTGGACAACCAACAGATATGTAGATCGTATGTAAATGGTTCGCTTCATACAGCATGAATGAATAGACAGCATGAAGGCTAGTGGCTGGCACGAACCGCTGACAACACAAGTGCTCTCTTTGGAACACGAGAGACAGGCCACAGAAATGAACCACTATATATACATGTTTGGGTCACCTGAATACCACAGAAAGTTTGTTGTTCAAACGCATGACATGGGAAGCATCACGCTCTATGCCAAAGTCTTATCATTGAAGTTCCTGTAGCATGGATGACAGGTAACAGTTAGGTACGTCCATTCCCAAATCACAAGTATTTGTCACAAGGGATAAGGTGTGATCAACTGGGATCCGAAATAGAATTATAACCTCTCTTTTTTTAAAACTTGGGGTCCTTGATTGAAAGAGAGTGAATCAGATGGCTACTGCACAGCGACGTTATTCTACTGGATTTGCCTTGCTGTGTAGAAAGCTATTTTTTCGTAGCCTTTACAGATGCTTGTATTCTATATGAAACGCCCGGGCAAATGGTCCTAACCTTGCTGACACAGCTTCACTTTTTAAGATTACAGTATGTTTAAGACCTATGCCTTAATAAATTATTCCAGGGTATCAACTAGGTTATGGAATATTATTCGAATAATTTTCAAGGAATAATTTCTTCAAGGGGTAGGTATACGATGATGCATGTCGGAACCTTGAAAATCATGATCCCCCCCCCCGTCAAGATACCCCGGAATAATTAGGTTTTGGAATAATTTTCTATAACTTAAAACATCTTAAAACATCTCGAAGCAGCCTACACGTTCCTACATATGGCCTGGCCCTTCCAAAAGCCATTCCTAGCTTGGCGATGTTTGCCTGAAAGCTTTTTGCTGGAAATGCCAATTGCAGTTGTTTGAGGCATCATGCAGTTTGGGCAATTGTTGCCAACCTTTTTTTTGCAGCGTACTTGCAAGCACAGCTAGTGTCCAACGGACCACCTTTCTCTCACGGTACTTTCTCTCGAGAGTTCTTTGGATGGCAGCGAAGGGAATGTTAGGAAAATGCCTAGTAAAAGGCCAGGTTGAGTGCCATTTTGTGGGCTTTCCCCAGGGGAGAAATTATTCTAGGGGTATTGGAGATGCCTGGTACCCCTCAAAAACCAAAGTGGGCAGCTAATCACCAAATTAGCCCAGAAACTGGCAAGAATTGTCAAAAACAAATGAAACCCAAACATTTCCCACTCTTTCCCACTCATTCCCACTATGGCCAACGTTAGTTTTTTGGAAGGAAATGAAGGGAATATCGCAAAAACAAAAGTGGGCAGCTGCTACAATCACAAAACAAACCCAAAAATTGGCAACAAAAATCAAAAACCAGTGACAACCAAATATTTTCCTTTTCCCACTCATTCCCACTAAGGCCACACCACCAAAGTAGCCCAGAAACTAGAAAAACATCCAAAACCAATCAAAAACGTGTTCAACCAGGGGGTGCTGAGAGGGCATTTGTTTAAATATATTATTCTGACTCTTTTTGATTCTATCTGATTATGCTTAAAATTGTTTAAATTTGTGCCCCAGCTCTGCAAGAAGGTAAACCTTTTTCGGCCGTTTGCGCGCAGCTGATTACGATTATTGCGTTTGGCTAGAAATAGACTATACCGGTATCATTTTGACGGAAAGTATTCCAAATTTCCATATATCTCAGTGAGTTCTTGGAATGATATGTTTTTTTGAACTCAGGTTATGCCGGAATAATCCGGAATAATACTTTATTATTATATGTTGACAGAGGTTCTGCGGGCAAACACAAGCCCGCAGCTGAGTCTTTCTCTTTCAACATGGGTCGGTTGGACGGTTAGACTCGGCAAATTCCTTGGGGCTAGATCTTCAACTATCTTCAGCATATGATCAGATTTTGGGCATGGCCATGTCAACATGGATACGCAATCGGCAATTGACTTGGCAATTGACATACGGATTCATCGCATTGGTTCTTGATTTTTTTGGACTCAGAGATGCCGGGAAAAATTGGGCAATGCAACCGGAGAAGGCTGCCCAGATTTGGAGCTGGAGAATGAAGTGTTGCTGGCTGAGCTGGAAGAGCTCAAGCAGGTGGACCCGGATGGCGGCGCAAGCGAATGCGGTTCTGATGGGGCCGCTACTGGACGCCAGATTCGAGAACAACCGGGTGAACCGCGACCTCATGCTCGACTCGGGGCCGGGGTTCGCTGTCAATTCGGCTTCCGTCAAGGGCCCGAAAATTATGCTACGACATGAACGCAATGAACGCGTCCTTCGGTGCGCCCGCCATGACGCGCGATGCGATCGAGCAAGTCAAAGCGCGACGAAACGGCAACAGCTCATTGCAAATTGTATGTTTACAAAGTGGCCCCTGCTGGTTTCTACACACAACCCGAATCACCTGGGATACTCTATCCGTGGCGCTCCCCGGTTGGCCGTGCGGCGAAAATCAGGACAACATCAATCCAAAAGGAGAAGTATCGACATCGAACGCGACGAAGCGAAGGTGGGACTTCCAAGCACGGGGAATGACAGATGGTGGCTCCAGAAATATCTCAACATTTGTTCGTCATCTTCCGCAATCAAAACTGATGTTTATAATTATATATTATATAATATGATGTATATTTATTTAATTTTATTTACATATCTTTAATCCTTATATATATATATATTATCAAATGTCTTTACTTCGGGGATTTTTTCATACCATTTCTGGAGAAGCCCGGAAAATTGGAACACCCCAACTCCAACGAGTTCCACCATACAGCGTAGCGCTACCAGCAGCGCATGGTTTTTTCGGGGTTTTCCTCCTCCAGAAATGAGGAATCCATAGGGAATATACATATGTCATGTCCCAGATAGAGCAACATCCGGTTTCAAACTTCAGTGACAAATTACGTGTCTATCTTTACTTTTTCGGTTGCTATATATTTTTTCAAGATCCGCGATTTAAGATTTGGGTTTTTCATTTGGGTCACCTTCAATTAAAATAGTCCAAGAAAATGATCAACAGAAACACCAGGCGCATGCCATAGCGATGCAAAAGGTCTTTGAAACGCGCTGGATGCCCATGGTTGTTACAATTTGGGCATCCCAAGGCAAGTAAATAACTACCCTAATCATGATTTGTGGTCACCAATGGAATTATGTGAATTAGTTAGTGATAAACTGCTGATGCCAACTGCAACAGATTAGGGGTCGAAAGTTCTGTAATTCTGTTGTAAATGAGTTTTCTGCGGTGTCATTTAGTGGTGTGATGTTCGGTTGTACTGAATGAAGTTGGGAAGACAACTTATATGTTGGCTGTTGATCTCAAAATAATACCCCCTGCTCGGCCATTGGATGTGGGGATTTTAGTTGTACATAGTAAGTCTCATTCTAGAAGATCTAGGTTGCTTCGTTCTCGCTACTTTATTGACATGTATGTGCATATTTATGCAGTTGGGATGATGTATTCAGCAGGAGGTGTTAGGAAAATAAACCAGTCAAAAAAATGTTTGCTTTTCAGTTCTATTGCAGTTAACCTGTTTATAAATGAGCCACAGCAAAAACCCCAGCAATACTAAATATGTATTGGACGGACATTGGTTTATGGAAATTGATGGAAATCGTTCGAAACACGGACATTGGTTAACACACGGTAAGCGATGGGGCCTTCCCAAACTAGCGATACCCCTTTTCAAGGTTATGTCATTGTATTTCTCCAACATCCACATTAGCGATACCCAAATTGGACGTTGATGTCTGTAAATTATATATATGTGTGTGTGTAGCAGTTTCCTGCAAGCGATACCCCCTCAGTTTACCATATATCACTATTGTACAAACGTGTGGTAAGTGATGGGACCTTCCCAAATTTGTGGATGTCCTTTCCGTGAACCTAGGGTTTTCGAGATTGCTCAAATATTGTTTTCTCAGAAGGGCCAACCCATATCGTAAATGTGTATTGTAAATGTAATTACATCAGTAAGTGCATATATATATATATTGTAAAAATGTGTATATATGCCGATATAAACATAACTATGTTCACATATTATATACAAATGTTTTATAAAATTAAAACATGATTATAGATAGATAAATAGATAGATAGATAGATAGATGGATGGATGGATAGATAGATAGATAGACAGATAGATAGATAGATAGAAAGAAAGATAGATAGATAGAGATGATCCTTCCGAAAGCAAATTCATCACTTCGCCTAAAACATGTTCCACGGCAGCAAGTCCTAGGTGGCTGCTGCGAAACGTTCCACAAAGTTGCTGAAGGAAGAGCAGAAGGTGCTGCAGCAACTCAAGGCTTGTAACTGGCCGTCGGTAGGGCCATTGCTGCGATTTTTCAAGCTGCGGGAAATTTGAAAATGGTGGGGCTGCCATACTTAGATGGGCCATGGAGCTAATTGATTGTTTCTAGTAAATCAAAATTTAATTGGGAACTGTTCGTGGGATATGACCCAGTTACTAAACAATTCGATAATCCTGTGGCCCATCTGGGTAGATATATGGATATGTACAGTGGTTTATGACTTACCTTTTATAATGGGAAGAACATAGAAATATAACAACATTGGTATTTCTGAAAGTGGGGTACACCAAAAAAAAACCATGGAATTGGGAACATGATGACAAACCATGGCATTCTGGGGTACGTCTCCAGACAAACCCATATGGGTGCGGATCAAAATAATTCAACTCCAAAACGGATGGTTTTGTATTGCATAGTGCGTATGGACCAATGTTGTGGGTCTTTGGACGGTACCCACAAAAACCACATCAACAAGGTTTTGGAATGTAAGACGGTGGCGACCAGTGCTCCCGAGAAACCTTGCTTTGAGATTGGATCGAAATCATTCTGGTGTCCCATGTTCTCATATTGTGGTAATTTAAAACATACAACCATATTGTGGCCATTTGTTGTGGTCATATTGTGGTCATATTGTGGTCAGGGATTGCCAATTACGCCTTGAGACAAACACAGAACCTGGAGACGGAATAGGATGCTGGAGCCTTACATTTTGACCAACATCAATGGGTTGGTGTGAAAATCTTCACCGGACACCCCTCTATTTCATGGGGCAAAAAAAATCACATGGCGTGCGGTTGAGATTTTCCCAACAAAACCTTAAGCCAATGAACAAAAAGTGACATTTTCTGAAGCACACGTGGTTAATGTTCTGAAAATTGTAGCATGGCAGCCATGAAGCCATCATCCATACATTTTGGTCAATAAGAAAACAAGTTCCATATTTGACATGTTTTTTATTTGTTTGCGTTCCTTGTTGAACCCAAGTATTCCTTGTTGCATTGTGCAATTCAATGTTTTCACCAGAAAAGTCTCAGTTTGTCCTGGTTACAAATCAATCCCGGAATATTTTTTCGGGTTAAAGCATTGTTTACCATTGTGAAATTCATTATTGTTTCATGTTCTTTCCTGGTAAAATCCCACCTAATTCCGCGTTACATGGAATCATTGTTAAATTCATGTATTTTCCTGGTTAAATCCCACTTTTCCATATACTTTTCCGTGTTACATCGAATTCTGAGCAGTACAATGTGGGCCCCCCCAGTTGTAAGTTTGTTTGTAAACCCCATGAATATAGAAGTTATAATTAGTTATAAATATCATAAACCATGGTTATTGGATTTACATACCAACATATACCAACTTAGCTATCGTTTGGGGGCCCCCACGACTTGTAACAACACGTGTGACGGTCCTCCACAGGCGGACATGGCCATTCTGAAGGCCCGAGATTTGCGACGCCTGGCTGAGGACCGTGGGATATCCAGTCGCCACCATCGGTTTCAAGTTTCAATCTTATGGTTCATCTTTCATATAATGTGGCCCCCCCCCAGTTATAAGTTGTTTCTTTAAGCCCCAGTAACTAGTTCGTTATTTGCGTACCATAAACCATAGTCATTGGAGTTGTGTCCACCAACTTAGCTATCCAACGGGGGCCTCACATTGTAGGAATATATAGGACAACCACTCATGACATATAATATATAGACCATTGGAATATAATATAATTACAAGGTTAATCTTAGATGGGTACAAACTAATCCAAAATAGTCTTTTGGTATCAATGGGAATATCTACGTTCACCAGCAAAGAATTTGTCATTTTTTGCAGGGTATCTGGCTGATTGGCAATGTTTCGATCTTATGTTCATCCATGAAGCCTATGGATCCAGCCGTACCTTCTTAGGAAGTACGACTGAGGTATGATGACTCGGGGGTGAGCCGTACCTTCACAGTGGCCATGGATCCATAGGGGAAGTCTAATGACTTGGATGATTTTTGGATAGCTACATATACCTACCCCCATGACTGAGGAAACCTCCATTATCAGTAGTTTTTTCTTCTTGGGTTTATTTCACGGACATTTCGACAGTTCGATGAGATTTATGTTTAAGTATATTTTCACTAAGATGGTGATGGGATAGCTAGTGCTGAGCGGAAGATGGGATTCAACTGATAACCATTGCTGAAGTGGAATGAATGGATGTACAAGCAATTTCAAGTAAAGTGGAGATATTCCAACTTGATCATATTGAATGAAGGAGGGGATATGTTCCACCAACTTATCTGAGAGTTCTTTCATGGAGATGTCACAGATGTCCATAGATGTCGATAGTTAGATGGGCTTTTTGCGGATTTATCTACGAATGATTGAATAAGAGGAGTTTAAAACCGTCCAAGATGGGGATGCTCTGCTAGCTCAACTTGACCATGTAATATTTTGGGTAGGACATAGGCGAAATGGACAGATATCACCAGCTTGACATGGGATTTGGGCTATAACCCATCGACAGTTGGATTTGCTCAGAACCAGCACTGGCGGAAGGATTCATGTTGTTGTTGTTGTTGCTGTTTAGACAGTTAGATCTCATATGTTTACGAAAAAACACTGACAAAGAGAAAGCGCACAACACAATGTTGAAAGATGGACACCCATATATTCATAATATGTGTATATATATATAGATATGTAAGATGGACACCCATTTATTCATAACATATATTTATATATTCCAATTGTTGCGGCTCATACTTGTACCCAATGATTCCCCTGATTCAGATTTTCCAAACCTTCTTAGATAGGCCATGAAGAGTTTAAGTGGGTGACCCAGTTACCAATTCGCAAATCCCGTGGCCAATCGAAGTAGATCCATGGATATAGTCATATACCCGTGTATATATATATATATACATACATACATACATACCTATATATATATATATACACATACATATCTATATCTATACATATAAATATACATACATATAAATATATTGCAGGTTTTTTGCAGTTGATACTTCCGACGATTCCCCAGATTAAGATTAAGAACCCAGCATGCCGAAAAGGACAGGTCCAGGTCCCCCCCGGGTCCCCCGGACCTCACGGACACAGGACTGGGGCTGCGAAAGCTCCCAACTGCTCAGGGCAGAAGAAGATGAACAGCCCAAGGTGGCCGTAAGGCGATTGGTGCTGGAGCCTTGGAACTTTAACGGTGACTGCTTTTCGCTTCACCGATGGGGCTTTTCTGATGGGTTTTGATCGTGTTTGATGTGTTTGATACGAAGCTGGACATGTGAATATATGATGTTTGTTGAATTTTGTTGATGTGGTTTTATGATGGGAGAATCATGGAGCTACCAAGAATGGCTCCATGGTAATCCGCTCGGTGCGTGTTGAAATCTAAAACGGTCCTAACTTGATAGTGTTGATTTAACCAGCAAAGTCATGGTAGAATGGTTGAACAGTAATGGTCCATTTCTGGGGATATCATAGGATGGAATAGGACTACTGCCCCCTCCAACACCAAAAAAAAGTCGTGTGTTCGTCGAACTTATTAGCCACCAAGGACCAAGAACCACTTAAGTGAGGCTTTATTATGATCCACCTGGAGCAACGTCCGCCTGAGAGCAGACCCAGCCATGGCCATTGAGAAACCGTTGATTTAGCCATTTAAAAATGGTGATGGTCCATGTTTTTTGTATGTTTACCAGAGGCTAAAGAAAAATCAGAAGAGCATACTGAGCCAAAAAGTGGCGAATTGAAGATGGGCTGTCACATCTGTTTCAATTTCAATTTCTGTGCCCTTCACCGATTCCAAAAAAAATGTGGATGATGTGAGCTTCGTTTTGGCAGAACCCGGTAGTCACAAATCAAATTCAACCCCACCATCCATCAACGAGCATGTATGTACATTCACGCCAGAATGGTAATTGATTGGTTTTGTTTTACTATTGGCTTTACATACCTCATGATTCATAAAATGGTTGCCTGATAAAAATGATCTGCTGTTCAGACCCTGATTGGTAGAGGTCCATTGCAATCTGGCAGCGAAATAGCATGTTGCAATCCCATCATGTATGCATCCATTTACTGTAATTTGGGTTTGTCCAAAAGTAGGGGTGCTGTACACTAGGGTTCCTATTTCAATTGACAAGGGCTGAATCCAGCCAGCCCCTGAAGTTCTTATTGCAATAGGTTCTTTTTTTCCAGTGGTTTCACTGTAGTACCTCAAAATGGCAAATCGATAAGGATCATCGTGAGATCAT